CCAACTTACACAATTTGTACCAATACATGTATGCTTGCAGGCACACATACACACATTCTCTCTCTCTCTCTCTCTCTCTCTCTCTCTCTCTCTCTCTCTCTCTCTCAGTAAAAAATTTTTAAATGAAGGGGAGTTTATATTGCATCAGTCCCTGTAAGGCAAGACATCATGAGAATGCATGTGGCAGAGGAAAACCACTCACCTTGTCCCTCAAGGTCCCCATATCCTTTTCAAGGGCACGTCCCCATAACTTCATCAACTCAAAAACACAACGCTTCCCTTAAAGAGGATAAAAGACAGTTTATTCTAGTCAAATATGAGAGCATGGCCCAAGAAACCCCAAGTTCCATGTTCCAACATGGAAGCAGTTGCCTGAAGTTTCTGTGGTAACAGAAGAATGTTATAAATCAGGACACTTTTAAAATATATTGGGGTAACATCAAAGAGGCGGGTAACAGCAAAGCATGTCTATCTGCATGTGATGCTGTCTCATGACATTCTTAGTTTTGGGATTTGATGGAAGCAAGTGGTCTGTGTTGTGTAATTATAGCTAAGGATGTGTTACATTCTTTCATGCTGTGGAAAAATGTTTAATGATGCAAAAACATGTTGCATGCTGGGAAGTGGTGGCACATGCCTTTAATCCCAGCACTTGGAAGGCAGAGGCAGGCGGATCACTGTGAGTTCAAGACTAGCTTGGTCTAGAGCTAGTTCCAGGACAGGTTAAAAAGCCACACAGGGAAATCCTGTCTGGAAAAAAAACAAGAAAAAAAGTTGCATTTATTTAATTCTGTGAAGCTGTGTTGCTTTGCCTGCTTAAAACACCTGGTTGGTCTAATAAAGAGCTGACTAACCAATAGCTAGGCATGAAAAGGATAGACAGGGCTTCCAGGCAGAGAGAATAAATAGAAGGAAGGAACAAGAAGAGGGAGTGAGCAAGAAAAGGAGAAGGAGGATGACAGGGGCCAGCCATGCAACAACACAGCCAGCCAGAGTAAGAAGGAAAGAAAGGAATATAGAATAGAAAAAGGTAAACACCCAGAGGCAAAAGATAGACTGGATAACTCAAGAAAAGCTGGCTAGAAACAAGCCAAGCTAAAGCCAGGCATTCATAAGTAAGAATAAGTCTCTGAGCCTCTGTGTATTTATTTGGGAGCTGGGTGGCAGGCCCCCTAAGGGAAAAAAAGCTACAATACAACAATACACCACAATGGGTTTTTATCTGATAGTAACAGGATGTTAGTTTCAACACTAAGTGATGTCAGGAATGGCTATTTAGACTAAAGACATTGCTCCAAGATGAGGTGTAATTAGGCTCTGGGCTTGCATCCTTCCAACCCTCCAGGTCGCTACAGTTCTAATTGGTCTTTGCAGGTACAGCTTCTGTCCAGAAAATTCCATTTACAGCTTCCTCCCACTAGACCTTAGGGTTGCACTACTAACCAAGAGAACCACCATCTGGAGCACGGAGGAGGCAGAAAAGGCAGATCTCTGTGAGCTAGAGATTAGTCAGTTCTACAGAGTGAGACCCTGCCCCCAAAAGAAAAAAGTATCCAAACAACAACAGGGTCCCTCCAGCTGTGATGTTCCCCACATGTGAAATCCCATTCCATCTCTGTGTCCTGATTTCTGCAGCACTGACATATGTCTATATTATGCCTAGAAAAAAATGATGAGCCTTTAGGTTCCTGCTACTATTAAAATTTCCAACTACACTTCATTCATTTACGCCTTGTAAAACTAACATCAAGTGGAGGGGGTATACAAGTCAAATAAAATAAAATGGACCAAGTATAAATGTTTAACATAATTCCTTTATTGATTCTTTGGGAATTTCTCATCATCTCCCAGTCCTCCCATATCTGCCCCTTACGCTTGCAGCATTCCCCCCAAAAAAATGTTTTTTAAAAAAATTTAAACAAACAAACAAAACAACAACAAAAAGGAACTCTTCACACTTCCATTGTTCCTAAATATCTAACACCGCATCATTAGTCTTAGTGGCATTGGGAGCCACAGTGTATCACACAGTATACCTTTTTGTCCAACCAACCTTACTTGCAAATGTTCAGTGCAATGAGTCATTGGTCTGGTTCAAGGCCTCTGGGTTTTAGTACACCATCATCATTGGACTCTCACCAAAACTCTTCTCAGATATCCTGAGGCCACTCTGAGTCATGGAGATTCTTTTTACCCTAAATGATGACAAAGATCAATAACCCACAGAATGACCGAAAACCACCCACCCCACCTCTTGGGAATGTATGTGGTCATTGTATTCTCTAACTGCTTTCAGTTGTCTGTGGGTGATTGAATCTTTAGTAGGCCCTGAGAAAATTTAGATAATGGTCAAGTCCTGGGAAATGTAGTTGTAACATTTGAACTGTTCCCATGCAGAGGGATCAGTATATTCATCACCTGTCTTGTAGTTTTTCTTGGTTTATTTCTTATTTCTGTAGCAAAGATTTTCAGGAGGTCTTCCCCAGTCAAATATGACTTCTATTAACCTTGGAGGAATCCACAGTCTTTCATTTCCTGTGGAAACACAAGCATAACCTCTCCACCAATTCAATACATTTTCTGGATTCCATTTTAAAGTTAAGACATCCCTAGAGTATCTAGGCTGATTTAATTCAACAGCCTCTGATTTAATTTAGCAGCTGTCATTTGCTCATAAAGACCCTGTGTAACTTGGGCTCATAAGGGGGAGAAATAACTGGGAAGTGGTAGCACATCCCTTAATCCCAGCACTTGGGAGGCAGAGACAGGTAGATCTCTGTGAGTTCAAGACCAGTCTGGTCTACAGTGAGTTCCAAGACAGCCAGAGCTGTTATTAAAAAAAAAAAAAAAAAAAAAAAACATGTCAGAGAGAGGGAGGGAGGGAGGGAGAAATGAACTATAAAGCCAAATAGTGAGGGTTACAGACAGATCTCAGTGTTAGAGGACTTACTGGCATGCTTGAGACTTTGGGTTCAATTCCCAGAACCAGAAAAAGAAAAGAAGTAAGTTTATAAAATTAAAACTCACAATAGAGACAGATTATGTGATAAGTATTGATTATTTATTGCCAAATGGAATTTCCTTTAACATACTTTTTCCCCCAAAAGATTCCATTTCAAACTCTTTATTCCAAGTTTGTTTTGTTTGTCTCTTTTGAAGGTATTGGATAGCATCACATCTGTGACAACAGCTTTAACCCCTCTGATTTGGGAGCACTATATTGATGCTTATTTCTTTGTTTTTACTCTAAGCCTCAAACTCAAGACCTCACAAATGTTAAGCACATACCTTTATCATGAAGCTACATCCCCAGCCTTAATCTTATATCATATCTTATATCATGTGTTGCTTCTATAATCACTATGAGCTTGCAAAATGAAGCAATTCAATAGCTATAGGAAGGAATATCACTTCCAGGTCTAAAAGCAAAGGTATAAGGAAGTAGTTTAAATTAAAAAGTTCTTGCAGTGAGCGTGCAACAATGACAGGATAGTGTGTGTGTGTGTGTGTGTGTGTGTGTGTGTGTGTGTGACATTTAACTTTTTATTTCACACACACAAAGAAGAATTTCTCTCTGCTAGTTGTGGTGGCACACACCTGTTATGAGCAGTTTTCCCTGCCACCTGCCTGAACCCAGATAACACACAGAGACACTATATTAGATATAATGTTGTTGGCTAGTTACTGGTGTCTTATTGGCTAGCTCTGTCTTAAATGAACCCATTTCTATTAATCTAAGTATTTCCACGTGATCTCATCTTACCAGAGAGAGGTGCTGGCATTCCACTCTCTCCATCCTCCATTTTGAATCTCCTCCCTACTACTTTCCGAATCCTCCTTGTCTCCTAGTCCCGCCTATCTTGCTTTCCTATTGGCCAACAGTGCTTTTACATTAACCAATACGAGAAACGTATTTACAGAATGACATCTCCCAACACACACCTATAGTCCAAGCTACTTGACAGGCAGAGGCAGGAGTATCATTTGAGCCTGGGATTTCACTGCCAACCTGGTAACAAAGTAAAACCCCTTTCCCTAAAAAGGAAGGAGGCCCAAGGGTTGAAGAAAAGTCAATCCCTCACAACTGCTCTATGAGAAGGGTTAGTTATTCCTCTTCTCTTATCCAATTACTGACCGGGCCTGACTCTGCTTAGCTTGCACTATCAGACAAATTCATGTGTCTTCAGGGTGTTATGGCCATCAACTATTATTCCTAGTCTAGAATAGATGAACCAGGATGTAAAAGTTGGAAAACATGATGTTATATGGCTTAGATAGTTAGAAAATAGATTTGACCCAATCTATGCCTGTACAAACCAAAATGATACTCTCCTGTACCATGACACATCTATCACACACTGACACAACTGCCTCTGCTTCCTTTTGTTTGTTGCATTGTTTTGCATTGCTTTCAGTCAGCATCTTATGTATCTCAGGCTAGCCTCAAAGTCACTATATAGCTGAGGATGACCTTGAATTCCTGATTGTCATCCTCCTATATCCACATTCCAAATTCTGGGAACACAGGATTGCCATCATACCTACCTTGCCTGGCTCTGCTTGTATGTAGTTAGCAGTTTAGGTTGGACATCTGATGGCTTGTTTTACTACTAGACATGGGGATATCTGTTTTTGGAAAAGAGCATAGCCTTCCAGGGCACAGGGTACAGAAAGTATGCTAAAGCCAAGCAGCACAACCGAACGTAGTCCTGAAAGGCAAAGTGGGTCTTAACATTGCTTTGTTCTAAGCCCTCAGCATCAGTGCTGTGGCTTAACTGGGATTTGATCTTGATGAACTATGGGTAATTAACATGTCACAAGCCCCCAACAAAGCATATGGTGTCCTAAGAAAATCCCAAACCTAATACATGCTTTTCCAAGTGCAAGTTACTGGGAGAAATAACAACTTAAGTTTTCACGTATAGGCAGGCATTACAAACTGATGCTAAAAGTGAGTCTCATAACTGCTTTTTTTTTTCCTCTGTCTGTTTTTCCCTCAGTAAATAAAAGTGATAGCCACCTCAGCATATGGATGGGACCTGAACACAGCTGTGGGAGAGAACTTTCCCCACTGCAGAATTCTCCAGAGGAACTGGGCTGAGCTCCAGCATGCACAGTAAGAATCAACTGGACCTTCAAGCTCGTGAGATGTCGGGGGAATCCTGGTCCATGGCTGGTCGGCAGGTGGATGTGAAAACCGCACACTGTCCTGTGGCTGCTGTCGCTTCCTGACTGTGAAGAAACTGCATGAACTATACCTAAGCTGCTTTTCTATGCCATTGCCAATCACCCTTCTGGACTGGGGAGTGCTATTTTCCTATAAGCTCTTGCATTGTTTCGTTTTGCATGCACATAGTGATTACACACAAGCAATATGTGGAATCTGCTTCTATATTTTTTAAAAATCCATCCATGCAAAATGATAATTAAGATATAAATCCTCTGTTTAAAAAAAAATCTCTAATCATGGGATGATTAGAACCATGTCATTGAAAGGTTCAATCTGTTTCCTTTAAAGATCAGTATAATAGGTCTGCCTTTACTTTATAGAAAGCTAGCTTCTATAAAGATTTTTTTTCACTGTTTACTAGTGAAATGAGAAAAAGCAAAGTTATTTATAAAAGGCCTTATGTCATGTATATACATTGTCTTTGAAATACTTGTGATTTAGTTTATTGCTTGTAAAAGAGAAATTATATAATTTATTTAGTAAATATTACTGTAAACTATAGTTTTATTGAAAGAAATAAAATATTTTGTTCTCAATTGTGGTCATACATTGATTCCAGTGACATAGTGTGTGTGTGTGTGTGTGTGTGTGTGTGTGTGTTAGGGGCTTTGGGTGATGAAATCTTGGGCTGTCCATATAGTCGGCAAGGGCTCTACCACTAAACTATAACCTCAGCCCACATTTATTGATTGCTTAATAGAACAAGTAAGTAAATCTTTTTAATAAAAATAACTACAGTGTGGTGGTTTAAATAAGAGTGGCCCCCATAAGCTCATATCTTTAAATGCTTAGAAAGTGCCAGTAAGAAGCCTGAACCATTGTCCAAACGATTATAATTAATAATAAGCCTCATAATGATTATTTAATAAGTGGCTGTAGGGAGCAGCAGGCCAGGGAGAAACCAGTCCAGTGGAACCAAGCAAGACAGAGGAAAGCTTCCATTTACACCTAGCATAGATTTTCTGGAATCCTAAGAAAACTGAAGCTCGTGATGGGTATAAAAAGGGGGGGCGGCTACTTGCTGTTTAGGAAGGCCAGAGCTATCAGGGGTGGAGGGAGGAGAAAAGTCCAAGGGATGGGGGAGCATGAATCCACTGGGGTAAAGGGATTGTCCATTCCCTGCTGGGACCCCCAGCCCCTCCTGCCTGATGGGAAAGGGGCAGGCTGCAGCACCCAAGAGCAGGTCTGGGGATGTTTGATGCTCCAGGCAGAGGCCAGAGGCAGCTCAAGAAGGCCTGTGCTCCAAGGAGATGATAGCTGCCACCTAGTTTTTCTGCCAGGGTTCAGGGGTCCTTGGTCTCCTCTTAGCAATTTGCTTGTAATCCATGCTTGATCCCTGTCAACTTCTTCTTGATGGCATCCTTGGAGCTGGCATTTTGAGCTTAAGGGGTACAACAAAGTGCCTTGTAGCTAGCTGGTAGAGCAAAGAGCTAAGGAGAGGCCTCAACTCAATTGCCTCAATAATCCGCTCTCAAAGATGAAAGAGAAGCAGACAGCAAATTGAAAAGGGAACGGGCACTGGTACCCAACAGGCAGTTCCAGAACAAGCAAGGTATTTGAGAAGTTACCGTATGAAGCGGTGGGTTCCAGAGCCAAACCTGCCCTTCGATACTTAGTAGTAGAATGCTTACCTCGGAGTTTTTACTCCGAGGAAAATAGTGTTGCTACCCTTATGCCCAAGAGCTACAGCTGCCATAACCAAGCTTAGTTGTGCTTGAAATAACCCACCTCTGACATTTTTTTGATAAGTTTTTTTTTTTTTATTTAAATTTGACACAAGTTTGCTTTACATGTCAGTCCCAGTTCCTGAACCTTCCTGTCCTCCCCTGTCCCCCACACCAACCCCCATCCCATCCCCTTTCTAATCCCCAGGGAGGGTGAGGCCATTCATGGGGAGTCTTCAAAGTCTGTCATATCATTTGGAGTAGAGCCTAGGCCCTCCCTAGGCTGAGGGAGTATCCCTCTATGTGGGATGGGCTTCCAAGGGATAAATACTGATCCGCTACCAGAGGCCTCATAGACTGCCCAGTCCTCCTAACTAACATGGGCATTCAGGGAGTCTGAGTCGGTCCCATGCTGGTTTCCCAGCTGTCAGACTGGGGTCCCCTTTGCCTTTAAGGGTCTTCAAAACTGGCATTTTCCTCCTTAAGCCTCACGGTCCACCTAGATTGTCCCTGTCAGCTTCCAAAGAACCTCAGGACAACAGCTAACTGTGATGTCCATTAGCATATCAAAGCGGATGCTTGCTACTAGGCTCACTCAGCACCTGGCTTCCTCTCAGCTCTTCCCACCCCGCCCCTAGCCCCTACTCTAATCTTCTCCAGCTCTTGAGTTCACATCCCTTTCCCCAGCTTCTCTTTCTGGTTCAACCCTGCCCTTTCAGCCACAGGGTCTCTTGGTTCCCTAGACTCTCTCCTTTCTCTTTCACTCTCCCCAAGTCTCTCTTCTCATGGTCAAGTTCAGTCTGCACCCTTCTAGATGCCTCTGGCTGTACTCTCCCTCATAACTCTAATGAAAACCTCCTCAGCCATACCTTAGAGCAGTCACATCCTCATTCCATTTAGTCCCCTCTACCCATTATACTCTTCCTCCCTGCCCTCCTTTGCCTAACCAACTTCTGATCTCTTGGGTCTCAAGGAAGCGTGCCTTCATCGCCCCTCAAACTGAGACAGGGCCACACTCTTGGTTATCTCTATGGTAACCTTGCCATGGCTCTGTAAGAGCTTTTAAATTATCTCCTTCCCACACAAGACTATAAACTCCACAAGAACGTGTGGATTAGTAACTTTATTCAGCAACCACGGGGGGCCTGGATCTGTAGGATGAATAGGTAGCTGGGGGTTGGGAGTAGAAAGGCAAACATGAATGAGGTAAAGGAATGGAGATTAAACCAGAAAGCAGAGTACTTCTGTGGTTTGAAGATATCTAAGGAAGAAAAATTTAAGATGACCAGACTACACATATAGGTAGTATATGAGGTCCAGCCTAAAAGACAATTTGTGGTGAAAATTTCATACAGAGATTTCACTTCATCAGTGATCCATGTGAAAGAAGAAAAAATGGAGATTTGTGAAAGCTAAACAAAGCAGAAAGCTGTACTGCTTCCATTACAGTCAGAGACCTCTGCACAGGTTTTCTCAGAGCCCATGAATGGTAGCTAAAATCAGCGTGGCTTATCCAGTAGAGGGAGAACCACAGACGAAACCCCATTGCTACTAGAGATGCATCTGCAAGGGATGGAGTAAAACAAGAAAGACAGGAAATAGCAGCCTTTCCCCCAATGCATCCCTACCCTCTGGCTTCCACAATGTGGGTCCTTGGCTGAACCTTTTTTGAAGGTAATTGGCAAAGGAGTTTGGAAGAGAACCCTACAAAACAGAAAAGCTGTCCAGCCGTAGAGAACACATCTAGATGTGAAAAATAATTGCATGAGAAGAGAGAAACCTGGGAACCAGGAAGCTGCAGTTGCTGCCTGACCTTCGCTCCAGGAGTGAAAAGACGGAGGTGAAGAAGACAGAGTACCGTGGCCAGGGGCCAAGCAGCTCAGCACATGATGGGGGAAGGCCTTCTGTATATGTGTTTCTCTTATTGGTTGATAAATAAAATACTGTTTGGCCAGAGGCAGGAAGTAGGCGGGACTAGCAGACGAGGAGAATTCTGGGAAAGGTAGGCAGAGAGGGACCTCGAGGAGATGCCACCTAGCCTTGAAAGGAGAAACAGATCTGAGCATTCTCCAGTAAGCCAAGACCACGTAGAAATATATAGGTTTATAGAAATGCATTAATAATTAAGACAGAGCTAGCCAATAAGAAGGCCTAGCCATAGGCCAACAACTTTATACTTAATATAAGTCTTTGTGTGTTTATTTGGGGCTGAGAAGGATGGCAGGACCTGGTGGAACAAGAAACTCAAGCACCAAGCAGAGGTCACTATTTATAATGACTTGTAGGGTTAAATAAGAAAGAGAAAGGTGTGTTGTGCTAGCTGGGTTTTGTTTTGGGGTTAATGATTGATGTCGAAGGGCCCAGCCCACAGTGGGAGGTGGTCCTGAGTTGTATAAAAAAAAAAAAAAAAAAAAAAAAAAAAAAAAAAAAGGCTGAGCAAGCCAAGAGGAGGAAGCCAGCCAGCAGCACTGGTCCACTCCTCCGCTTCAGTTCCTGCTTTGAATTTCCACCCTGACTCCCTCAGGGATGGACTCTGACTGGGACCACGGGGTGAAATAAACCCTTCCCTTCCCAAGTTGATTTTGGTTTGTGTTTGCGGAGCAGACTAATTCAGTGTTCTTGGTATCTCTCCTAGAAACAGCAAAAGACAGGTAGACCCAAGTTTGTGTCCCAGCTCCCGGACACACTAACCGGAGAATTAGGCTTGAGTCTGTGAAAGGGAGGCTATACTGGCCTCGGTATGGGTGTTAGAGGAACTGGATGAGAGTATTTGTAAGGCACTTCACCCAGTGTGATCTATATTCTCCACTAACGAAGCCAAGAAAAAGGACCCTGTGAGGTTCTGGGCCCTCTTCGAAATCCTGTCCCAGGTGCCCTTCCCACAACACCGTTACTAAAACAAGCTGTGCTGGCTCCCCTGCCTTTCTCTGGTGTCGGGGAGCCATTAGCCCTCGCATTAACTCAGCTGTCAATCACAGCTGCAGCCACTGGAGCAAGAAGATCCAGGCCCAAGCTTGTGCTCGTGGTTGTTGTAAGTAAGGTCCATTTCCTCCTGGCCTTTGGTGAAATACCTCGGCCCCCTACCATGTGGGCCTCATCTTCACAGCATGGAAACGAGCATGCCACAGAGTGGCCAGCATGGAAGATGATGTGGGAAGCGGTGTAGCCGCATGGAAAAGTGAAGCCGCTGTCATTTGATGATTACCAAGGGCGGGGCAACCAGCCCTCCCCACAGCTACGGTCAAGACTGAAAGACCAAACCAGAGCCAACCTAGAGAAAAAACAAAAAAACAAAACCAGCACTATGTGAGAACCTGACCCCATGACCTGTGCAGATGGCTTACACCATCCATCTGGAAAAGCTAACAAGCAGCTTGAATGTGAGATAACTCCACAGGCCCTGACCCCAGGTTAGCCAATTAACAGAGTTACAAAAACAATCTTTGTGGGCACATGTGGCACCAGAGATAAATCTATAGAAACTTCCCAAGTTCCTCTAGACAACCCAACCAATCAGCTTTAAACCCGTACCCCTCACCCTATCCTGTGGTCTTTATCTAAAAAAAAAAAAACCTTGTTTGAGAGGCTCGGGGCCTTTCTTCTGTAGCTGCTGTCAGTCTGTGGGACGAGGTCCCTGCCTAGGCTTGAATAAAGAAACCCTGTGCTTGCGTTCGGAGAGTCAGCTCTGAATGGTGGTCTCTCTGGAGGTCTTGTGGACCCGGCATAACAAAGACCATCCCATTCCTGTCCTGGGAACAAATACCACTTCTGGCTACAGAGCCCTGGATTCTCCATGATCTGCCCCAGACTGAAGTCTTTGCCCACCAAGCTGAAGGGAAATGAAGAGTGTTTTCTGGCGCCCCCCTTTCACAGGCATAGGACTGTGCCCCTTAAATGTTATCAAGATCAGCCACCTGACCATGCATGTGAGGGACCTACACTTAATGATTGCTGTTTCTCACATGCTCTTCATTCAAAGCCCTTCAAGCTGAGACACTCACTCTAGTTGACAGGGAGGAAACTGAAACTCAGAGAAATGAAATATGGAGCCAATCATGGAGGCCCACGCCTATAACCCCAGCTCTCGGGAGCTGGAGCCATTAGGATGGGGAATTCCAAGCCTGGGCTTCAAAGCAAGACCCTGACTCAAAAATTCAATATAAATAAGATGAAAGTTTGAAGGGATTTGGGCAATATCGCGAAAATTATCTAAAAATTGGACACAAGTAAAAAATATTTCTATAGATCTTTAGCTCAAAGTTACACTAAAACAGTGATAGTGAAGGGGGACAATTTTGCCCCAGACAATACAAGGGACCATTTTACTAGGTCTGGAGACATTTGATTTTAACAGCTGTATCTGGAGTGGATACTACTGCCATCTAGTGGTTAGAATCAATTATTGCTACCACCCCCACAGGAATGAAGTCAAAAGGCTACTACTGAGAAATCCTAACCAAGAACCGACCATGTGACCATGTTTGGCTTAAGCTAACCCCCAGCATTACAAAGTGTGTGTAATCTTCAGAAATAGGTTCTAGTGGACAACCAAGAGCAATGGCAATAGTCTGTATGGGGTGGGGTGGGGGTTTTTGACCTCTCTAAACAACAACTTGTGGGGAGGTACCCTACATCTGGCTTGGTTTTGTTTTGTTTGTTTGTTTGTTTGGTTGGTTGGTTGGTTGGTTGGTTGGTTGGTTGGTTGGTTGGTTGGTTGGTTTGTTTTTGGTGGTGATTGTAATCAAACCAAGACCTTTATGTACTATTGAGCTATGACATCCCAACCTCATCCTCTCTTTATAAAGACAAATACATACTGGATTTGGGCCTCATCTTTGCGGCCTTAGTCAATTCTCTTAAGGTCCTTGGTGTAAATACAGTGTTGTTCAGAATGCACTGAGGCTTAGCATTTTCTGGAAGGAGTTTGGAGGCAATTTTCAGCCCATTATAACTTTCTGATTAATCTTGACACCTGTTGGGCAGGTGGGCCTGAGTTGTATAAAAAGCAGGCTGAGCAAGCCATGTGAGGCAAGCCAGGAGCAGCGTCCTTCTGGTGACTTCTGACTCCGCTCCTGTTTTAGTCTTGCCTTGGCTTCCCTTGTGTATCCATGAGAAGTATGTTTCTCTCCCGTTGAATGTTATTCTGTATAGATGTAGCTGGGGAGCCCACAAAGCTACTCATGTTTCTATTATACCACAGAGCTTCCTTGAGAGACAGAAGCTATATGTATGCCAATTCCTTAATCAACACAAGCACCCTCTGAGGCGGGTATTTCAGGACCAAAGGTGTAGCTCAGTGATAGAGCACTTGCCAAACATACTGAGTGTGGCGGCACACACATTTAATTCCAGCATGTGAGAGGCAGAGGCAGACAGCTCTCTGTGAGTTTAAGGCCAGCCTGGTCTACAGAGCAAGTTCTAGGCCAGTCAAGGCTGCATAGTGAGTCCTTGTCTCAAAAACAAACAAAAAAACCAGAAATGAATAACATGCAGTCCCAGCCACACCGCCTGCCTTATCCCTCATCATCCCTCACATGAAACTCCAAGAAGAGTTTTGTTTTTGTCAAAAAAGCTATCACATAGGGCCCTGAGGCTAGAAGTCATTTCCAGCAAATAAATCCAGCTTCCCTTCTTCTGGGCTTTGCAAGTTTCATGGTTAGCAATTATTTACTGAAATTAGTCCTGTTTCTTATTTATTCTCAGTAACATTTCATACTGGATGATTAATTCAAACACCTTATGATTCAGTTAGATTTTTGTTGTTGTTGCTGTTTGGTTTGGTTTTTCAAGACGGGGTTTCTCTATGTAGCCTTGGCCGTCCTGGAACAATTGTATTTTACACACCAATCCCAGTTACCTCTCCCTCCCATCCTTCCACTCCCCCCATCATCTCCCCAACCCACCCACCCCACCCCCACCCACTCCTCAGAAAGAGTGATGCTTCCCTGCCATGGGGAATCATCAAAGTCTGTCACATCGTTTGGGGCAGGACCAAGGCCACCCCCCTGTATGTAGGCTGAGCAAGGTATCCCTCCATAGGGAATGGGCTCCAAAAAGTCAGTTCAGGCACTAGGGATAGATACTGGTTCCACTGCCAGTGGACCTAGAAACTGCCAAAGCCTCCCATGTGACACCCACGTTCAGAGGGGGAACTAAGTTTTTTGAAAGCAAGACTATCTTGTTCATCAGTGTATTTTCAGAATCGCCCGCTGATCAGTAAAGCGGTTGTTAGTGAATAAATTCACCGAGGTCAGTGTCTACACACTGGTGTTGCCCAGGGGATGCTTTTCATGTTTGACACAAAACAGGCTCTGGGTTCTGGTTAAATGCATGCACGGTGCAGTGCTGGGTCCTGAGAGTGGACCTGTGCGCAGGAGCCCAGCCCGGGCAGTTGCAGGGCAAGGCCACCAGGTGGCGCCAACCGAGTCCTCGCGCGGGGGGTGGCGAAGCGGCCGCAGAGCCAGAGCGGTATGTGGGCGCTCGGTCGGCGCGCGGCCGTGGGCCTGCTACCCCGAACGGCGTCCGGGAGACCGCACGGGAGGGAGCCGATCGCAGCGTGGGTCCCCCGAGGCCTGCAGTTCACAACCAACGCGGGCTCGGCCGGCCGCCACTCCGTGAGTATGCGCGCCGCGCCACACTCCCGAGCTCAGGCCGCGCCCGCCTCTGCGCTCGGGGACGCGCTGCGCAGGGCACGCATGCGCCGGGACGCGCTGCTTGGACGCGCGCGGCGTTCGCGCGGGTTTCGGTCCTCGGGTGGGAAGGTGGCCGTGGGATGATGAGTGTCCGCGGCGGCGCTGTGGGGATGATGAATGCCCACGGGGATCCGTGCAGTCTTGCGGCTGGTCGGTTCCCGTATGAAGACTTGGGTGTCAGTGATTAACGCAAGGTGTGCAGCGTGTGTGTTTATTGCTGCGCGTGCCCCAAAGGTAGCACGCAGAATCATGGAAGCCTGGGCCTCGGTGAACCAGATCCCCTTCTCATGGGGACTAGCAGGGCTGTGGAGGAGCTCGGAGTACGGTTCTTTGGTGTTTGCCTGTCTCACTCAAGTAGCCCTGGCTATCCTGGCAATATACCCCACGCTGGCGTCAGACTTGTGATCCTCCTGCCTCCTCCCGAGTGCACCAGCAGGACCCTAGACTCCAGCTTTTGGAAAATGATGGGAACTCGGTTCCACATTCCAAGTCCGTGGCTCTGAAGAGCCCTATGACCTTGGGGGGGATCCTGGCTCCCTGGGGGCAGGGCTTGGCTTTCTGTACCAGGGAGATTAAAGGGTAACTCCCATTTTGCGATTTGGCGGGAATGTTAAACTATATTCACAAAGGCCTTAGCACTTCACATAAGTTCTTGAAGATACAAAACAAAATAAAAACAGTAGAATACTCCACAGCTTGAAAAGAGCTTCCAAAGCATAGCAGTGGGGTTAAGGAAGGCTTCCCAGAGAGGGACTTGATAGATACAGATGCCAAAGGAGGGGCCTAGGGAGCATGGGGGGGGGGGGCTGTGGAAAAGGTGGAATAGGCTCCTGGCTAGTACTCTCTGAAGGTTCAAATCCAGCCTGGATACATAAGATCCTTGGGGGGTGGGAGGGCGCATTGTTTGGTTTGGCTTAGATTGGTTTTTTTCGAGACAGGGTTTCTCTGTGAAACAGTTCCAGCTGTCCTGGAACTCACTCTGTAGACCAGGCCAGCCTCAAACTCAGAGATGCACATGCATCTGCTTCCTAAATGCTGGGATTAAAAGCGTGCATCACCACTGCCAGGTGACATCCGGTCTTAAATAAATAAATAAATAAATAAAAGTAAGCAGGGCTGGCCGTGTAGCTCAGAGTTTGAAAACTTAGAGTTTGAAAAGTCCTCGATTCATTTAATACTGAAAGAAAATTTAAGAACAAAGCCACCGGAAGCGGGGCGGTATGAGAGACAGCTAGGGTGTGAAGGATAGGACCCAGGACTCCTGCTTGCTCAGATGCTCTCCAGGGTCTTTTAAGCCCTGTTCTGCTTTCCAGCCTTGTCATTCTTCCCTTGCCTGGCGCCTGACCGCTGGCCCGGCCTCCAGTTTCAGCTGTGCAGTTTGGATCTCTGCATCCTTGTGAGCCTGAGCAGCTTCCTCTTTAGCATCTCAGTTTCTTCACCTGTACAATACAAATACCGTCCACCTCAATCCTCAGATCGGGTTCTCACTGGCTCTCGGATATTTGTTGTCCCCAGTTGTCTACCTTGATGCCCTTGCAGTCACTTTGAAGGCTGCATAGTGACAAAATGCTCCAGACCTACTACGGAGGGTGTTCCCAGCAGTGGCCCAACAAGGCATTGTTCTGCTTGCTTCCACTCTCTCCGTGTGAGCAAATGTCCAGTCTGTTCGGTGACATGTTTTTTCACGTTTATGTACTCCTTAGTGATTTTTGTTGGTTGAAAGTGGTCCCCAAGCCTGGAGCCACACACAGTGAGACTACTGTGGCACGCCTTACAGAGAAAATGCTTCACTCCGGCATGTTGTGCTATTGCTTCAAGTTCAATATTAATTAATCAATACTATAATATTAAATAAAGTATCTTTGAAGAGAAGGACATTCCAAACAAGATTATGCATCACCCTTTTGACAGTCATGACCCTGTGACTTTCAGGAACCCAACCTGTGTCCCCCTAAGAACGAGCAGCAGCTATGTAGGGTCACCCCCTCTTGATGATGACCATGGCGTGGGAGCTGGAGAGATGGCTTTTAAAAACACCCAGCACTCATATAAGGCAGCTTACAGCCTTCTGCAACCCCCGATAAAGGGGTCAGATGCCCTCTTTCCCCTCCGAGGGCTCCTGCGTCCGCACTCATGAACTTTCATGTGCTCAGGCACAAGTACATGAAATTATATGTATGTATTTTTTTAATAGGCCGCTGCCGCTGAAGTCCTTCCCTCGTGGGTTATAATGAGGACTCCGTGTCCAGTCAGCTATAGACAGCAGTGCCAGGCAGATAGAGAATACTGTAGGACCCGCGGTAGCTGGAGCAGTGTTATAGGTACTGTCGCCCTCGCTTCCGCTGTGAAACATGCCACCCCCCTTATCCTACCTCTCTTCCAGCCTTGAGCCCTCAGCTCTCACTTGGACTTTAGCAGAATTCTGCCTCTTGTCATTTTTTGAGGCTTTTTTTTTTTTTTAAACCAAATTCTAGGGGTACTGGTTGCTTCCCAGTCTCTGGTGAGCCACCAAATCTCCTGAGCACTTGGAGCAACACCACTATGGGGGAGATGGTCTGTCTGGTGCTGAACAGCCATGGCCACTTGAGATGCAGTCAGCACAGCTGAGGACCAAATTCTGTTTTACCTCAATCAATTCAGAGAACTCCTTAGCAATAGTAGCAAATGCTTTTAATCCCAGCACTTGGGAGGCAGGGACAGGAGGTTCTCTGTAAGTTCAAGGCCAGCCTGCTCTACAGAGGGAGTGCCAAGCCAGCCAAGGCTGCACAGAGAGACCCTATCTTGAAAAACAGACAAAAAACGCTGCGTCTCATGACTATCCTATCAGATAGCGCAGGCTTAGCAGAGAGACTGGGAAGGCCCAAAGGAAAACAGGGTGAGGGAGTGGGGGAGTAAATCCTAAGAATTTTCCCTGAGGTGTTGCCATGTGGCCTCTTGTGAATGTAGAATTGCTGGTCTGTAAATTGTGTATTGCTGGATTGGAGTAGACTAAAATGTGGTCATTAATGCTCTTAACTTTGTCTTTTAGAGTTCAAACCTCTGCTACCTCAGTCAGATTCTGAACATCAAAAAGCAGAGTGTCTGCGTGGTGCCTTTGAGGAACTCAGGAACTTTGGACCACCCAAGGTGAGAAGAAATCACCCCCTGCCTCAGGCATCTCTTCCTGTCCATCTCTCCCCATGTAGAAACTGTCTTCTCCCTAGGAACAACCCTTAGTGACATCTTTCAGTGTCACTGGGCATCTGCCATGTTACTTTTAGTGATTAGTGTTTCTGTGTGGATATCCCAGACTTCCTTTAATTTGTCCCTATTGTTGGATATTTAGTTTTTTGTTTTTTTTTTTCCCCCCCAGAGTTTTATTTCCTCCAGCGTCCCAGTTGAGGAAGGCTGCCTTAGTTAGGGTTTCTATTGCTGGGAAGAGACACCATGACCACAGCAACTCTCTTACACAGAAAAGCATTTAATTGGGTGGCTTACAGTTCAGAAGTTCAGTCCGTTATCATCATGATTGGAAGCATGGTAGCACACAGGCAAACACGGTGCTGGAGAAGGAGCTGGTAGGTTTGCATCGTGATCTGCAGGCAGGCAGGAGACTGTCTGCCACACCAGGCTCAACTTAAGCATATGAGACCTCAAAGCTTCCTCCACGGTGACACACTCCCTCCAAGAAGGCCACACACACACCCCCAATAGTACCACTCGCTATGGGCTGAGCATTCAAATATATGATTCTGTGTGGGCCATTCCTATCAAACCACCACAAAAGCCATACAGGTTTAACAAATAGACCTCAGATGTAATGCTTCTCCAGGCTGTGGAAGGTTAGTTTTCCACCATGACATGAGTTGGGGAGCCTGCCTCCAGCTAGCCCTTATCTTATAGTTTGTTGTCCAGGTTAGTTCATCCTACTCAGGTTGCATTGGTAGGAAGAGCTGGAAGTATCGGAAGGCTAAAAATGGCACTTGTTCCTCTCTCTGGTTCCAGTGGACCACGCTCGGTTACTTAAGAAAGCTGGAAACAAATCTACAGTGTCTTTGGGAAAACATCATTGGATTCCCTATAGAATCAGCACTGCCTCAGGCAACCCCTTTGATTATCTATAGGATCCTCCTTTCAGGTGTAGATAGAGGTATCCCTAGCCCTAGGGACCAACCAAAGTCACATGGGGGTCTCTCTATCTGCTCTGAAGTCCAGGATTTCTGAGGGATGTTCAGTACTATCTCTAAGCTGTAGAAATGATCCCTGTGTCTGACTGTCTGTACCTGTCTCTCTCCCTCTGTGTGTGTCTCTCTCTCCCCCTTTCTATCTCTCTATAATACACACACACACACACACACACACACACACAGACCCACACACACACCCTATAACAATGGCAAAAGGCAAGATAACCAAAATAATTCCTCCCACTGAGATAATAGCTTCATTGCAGCCCTTGGCAGCAGTGGATATCTGCTGGGCAACCTGGGACAAGCTCTGCCTTGGTAAACCAGGAATCCCTGGCCCCAGCCTTGGGTGGGTTCCCCTTGCCCATCATCCTTTCAGATGTAAGGAAGATAGGCGGTAGGAAGCATGCTCTGCTTGAGGGCAAGCAGCCATCAGAGCCCACTGTCTGATGACAATACTCTGTGCCTCCAAAAACTGTTTCAAGGGTCCAGTGAACTGGTTTTAGGCCAGACTCTTTTCTTGGCAGTGGATTTTCCTTGAGACACCTAGGAGCTCTTGGCTACTTACTTACTCTCAGCCCAATATGTCACCCCTTTATCCAAATGTTTTCCTACCTGAAAGCTGTCTTATTTTTTTAACATACCTCCTTGCCCAGGCCTCTGCTTCAAGGGCAGGTCCCCTGAGGTCATGTCTGACAGTAATATTCATAGTGCCCTTCGTTTGGTTGGTACAGCCGAGTCAAGCTCCACTGCCTCATCCCACACACATACACACACCCTTTTGGCTCACCAGAAGCCGCCTTTGGTGTTCCAACGCTTAGATTCAAGTCCCTTTGACTCTTTCATCTTTAAGCAACTGTTAATCCCAAAGTAGTCCATCTAGTTCCTTCCATCTCCTTACAAATGGGCCAGTCATCTCCTGACTTAACCATTTCTTCTGGCACCTACTGAAAATGACAAGGAGCCACCATCCAGAAGAATATTTCCTCCTGGGCCAGTACCATGGCTCAGTGGGTAAAGACACTTACCGCTCAAGCCTGGCAACCTGAGCTTGGTCCCGGGAACACATGGAAAAGTGGAAGGAAAGAACTGTTCACACAGTTGCTCCCTACTTCCACCGAGCATGCCCTGCCCTGCCACATGCGTATGCAGACACTAATAATCAATAAACACCTTTTTTAAACTGTATTCCAGCTGGGTGTTCTTCCGGACACCCAGCACACCTTGCTTCTTTACCCCCTCTCTCCCCATTTCACCCTCAAAATGTCCACCACAGCCTATCAGATCAGATCAACCACTGTCATTAGTTACAGCTCCCCCCATTCTAGTCAGTCTCGTAGCTTGTCCCATGGTGCCCCCTGGCAATGGGGCGGGCCGGGTAAAGGACAGATCAGATGGAGTTAGCACCCTACAGCCTCTGTGGGTCCCTGGGAACCTCTCGAGTAATGGAGCTGCCCAATGAAGTCTCATAACTGTTGTATACCCTTCCTGGAGCACAAAAGGACTGTTAGAGCAGTACATTCTTTCTTGTTTGTGGTGCGGGATTGGACACAGGCCCTCATACATGGAGCACTCATATCCAGCTCTCAGCCACTTCCCAGTGCAGCAAAAGTTTATGGTCATAATTCAGATACCGTAAAAGTCATCAGAGGTGTTAGTATCCGTTGGCTCCTACAGCTGTCACCACTATCTAATTCCAGGAAATGCTCACTACTCCAGATCGTGCCCTTCATTAGTCATGGCCCATCCCTCCCTTCCTCTGCTCCCAGAACCTACTAACCAACTCCTGTCTGTGGAGTCATAGCAACGTGCATGGAGTTGGGGTCTTTTATTTGCTTGTTTTAGAGGGACTCTGTCTGTATAACCCAGGCCAGCCTTGCACCACATTCCTCCCGCCTCAGCTTCAGGAGTGCTGAGATTACAGGTGTTCAGAAAGCTCTGCTTGCCCCTCATCCTGTGTCTTTCGTGACATATCTCTTTTTGTTTGTTTGTTTGTTTGTTTCTTTTGTTGTTTTTGGAGACAGGCTATCTCTGTGTAGCCCTGGCTGTCCTGGAACTCACAGAGATCCACCTGCCTCTGCCTCCTGAATGCTGGGACTAAAGGCGTGTGCCACCACTCATATCTCATTTTTTAAGTCTTCATTTTAAAAACATTAACAAAGCTCATTATCTTCTTACATGCTGACTGGCCATTTGGATATATTTTATAAAATCCGTTCAAGTGTTTTACCCGTTTTTTCTGTTGGGTATTCTTTTTATCTATTTGCATTCCGGATCAGTCCATTTTCAGCTTCATGCAATAGAAACATTTTTTTTCCTCCCACATTGTGTCTTGCAGGAGCAAGTTGAGGTTACTTCTGCTAGGAGGCATATTTTCCTTTCAGTTTGTATGTATTTATTGTGATTGTGCGTTGGTGACCATGTGATGTGCGGCTGATGACCATGCTCGGTGGGTTTCTTCCCTCCTGCAGCTCTCTAGACGAGACGGCCTATGAAAGACTTGCAGAGGAGACGCTGGATGCCCTGGCAGAGTTCTTTGAAGACCTTGCAGACAAGCCCTATACCCTGGAGGACTACGATGTCTCCTTTGGGGTACCTTTTTTTTATTCTAGGTTTCCTCTTTAAAAGCCGTAATGGGCGGTGGTGGCCATGCCTTTAATCTCCACACTCAGGAAGCAGAGGTAGGCAGATCACTGAGTTCAAGGCCAGCCTGGTTTACAGAGTGAGTTCCAGGACAGTCAGGGCTACATAGAAAAACCCTGCCTCAAAAACAAACAAACAAACAAAAAATCCTGTAAATTAGGCTAGAGATACAGAGTTGGGTTGGTAGAGTGCTTGCCTAGCATACACAAAGCCTTTCTTCGGTCACTAGCACTGCATACAATTAAGCATAGTGGCACATCTTTGTAATCCTAGCACTCAGGAGGTAGAGGCAGGAGATTAGAAATTCAGGGCCATCCTCTTCAGGGCCAGCTTGGTCTACACAGTGAGATCTAGACCAGCCAGGATTACATACTCAAAAAGCCGGAGGGCTGGTGAGTAAAGCTGCTGTCCCCCCCAAACCTTATAAACTCAGTTGAGTTCTGAGAACCCGCATGCAGGTGGAAGAGGAAACTACTCCACACCGTGCCTTGCAAGTGGACACATACCATACGCACACATTCAGAATAATAATAAGTAAATTGAAGAAATAATAAGACAGATTTAAAAACAAATTAGCCTCCAACAGACATAACCACTTAGCAACGTAGATGGTGGTTGGAGCTTAAAAACTCGGATTCACGTGCCAACCCAGCACTGCCAGTGACTTTGGCCAAATCACTCCGTCTGTCTGAACCTCTTCTGTTTAAAAGCAGATTCCCGGAGGTAGAGTGGGTATCCCTGGGGTGGGTAGTTAGGGGACGAGACCTTCACCCACCCTTCACCAGCACTGGTATTAAAGAATAAAAAACAGAGTTCCAGGATCCTGTGGACAATTGCCCAGGAGTGGTTCACACTGCATATGCGGCCCCATGCGTGCTCCATTCTTCCTTAAGAAGCAGTGCATTCTGAGTTTTGGGGGGTTTAGTCTGTTTGGTTTTTGTTTTTGTTCCCATCAGTGTCTCTCTATATAGACCTGGCTGTCTGGAGCTTGCTGTGATGACCAGGCTGGCCTTGAGATCCACTGGGATTACGTGTGTAGCTGGCTCACCCTGGCTCACCTGGAATTCTGATGTGCAGCCCTGAGTCCAACCCCTAGAAATTTTTATTTAATAAGTGTGTAGTGTGCTCTAGGTAAGGAACTGGATTTGCAGATCCTCCCCCATGATGGTTGAGAACTGAGTTGGACAGTATTACCCCAGCCACTGGAAGCTAGAGGAGTTTACATTCTGGCCACCAGGTGGCAGACTAAGCAGGACTCTGCACAGGGCTTTACCATTGGGAGAAAAATGTCTCCTTTTCTTAACCATCCCCACCTCCACCACCACCCCAGTCCAGGCAGAGATTAACCCTCTTGACAGCAATTAATTAATACCAGGAAATGTCAGGAAGTGTGCGTTTTGGAGTAAATCATAGGATTATGTAGGGCAGATGGTTGTTAAATGATAGGGGAAATGGTTAAAAAAAGAAAGTACTTTCAAATTAATTATTTTTATTTTTTAATGAGAGAGAAGACACTTGTGTGTGAAGGTCCCTGGCTCAACATGACATAGCCAAGTGACAATTGTGCAGTTTTTGTTCCTGCAAGGGCAGGGCTAATCTTCACTGGCCCAAATCAGTAAGCCTGGTCAGCAGGGACTGGTTCTACTCTGATTGGTTGGTTGGTGTGAGGGTCTCCTCCAATTGTCACCGCACCATAGCAATTGCTCAGCATTCTGTTTCTCACCATCATGCCCCACAGAGACTTGTGTTGAAGGCCAGGTTCCCCGCTGGTGGTGTCACTGAGAGGTGACTGGACCATGAGGCCCCTGACCTAACTGAAGAATTGTTTTGCTGATGGATTTATTGGACTGTTGAGGGAACAGTGGAGAGATGGAGACTGTGGGGTGTCGGAAGAAGTAGATCACTGGAGATACCATTTTTTTTTAAATAATTTATTTATTTTATTTATGTGCACTGATGTTTTCCCTGCATGAATGTCTGTATGAGGGTCTGGGAGTTAAAGACATTTGTTAGCTGCTGTGTGGGTGCTGGGAATTGAACCCAGGTCCTCTGTAAGAGCAGTCAGTGCTCCTAACCAATGAGCCATCTCTCCAGCCCCAACAAACGTTTTTTGTTTTTTTTTTTAAGATTTATTTTGTATACAGTATTCTGTTTGCATGTTTGCCTGCACAGCAGAAGAGGGTACCAGATCTCATTATAGATGGTTGGGAGCCACCATGTGGTTGCTGGGAATTAAACTCAGGTCCTCTGGAAGAGCGGCCAGTGCTCTTAACCTCTGAACCACCTCTCTAGCCCCCTGGAGATAGGTCCTGAAAGATGTTCCTCATCCCTGGCCTCTCTCCCCTCTTTGCTTCCTGGCTTCCCTACCACACCCTTCTACACAGAAGCAACACAGCCAGCCACCCATAGACTGAGAACTCGGAAACTGTGAGCCAGTTTAAATCTTTCCTTGTGTTGTCTCTGATATTTGTCCTAGCGGGGAAAGTGTGAATAATGAGCCCACGCTTCCACATGGACTCATATTGGCTAAAGAATGGCAGCGTGGAGCTTAAAACCTCTGTGTAATCTACTTCAGACAGTTGTAAGTGTTGTGAGGCCCTCAGTAAGCGGCACCGCAGCTGGTTTGTTTGTCCCTGCCACTGTCCTTTGGAGTAACTGAAAGGGGGATGGGGTCCGGTTACAGTAAGCGGGCTGGGAAAAGGAACTGAACTGTGTGATCTCTGCCTTGGTAACCTTGCCCTTCACTGTGGCAGATAATTCCACAGAGTTCCTTTGCTCACTGTTTGTCCTCTGGTCCATTCACCCACAAATATAATAATTACTCTTGCATCCATCCTGGGTTTGTGCGAAAGCATATAGGTGCTGACTGAGTCATTCTAGAGACTCAAAATAGTGGAAGTGGGAGCCAGGGACAACAGGCTCCTTCACACACAGGTCAGGGACAACAGGCTCCTTCACACACAGGTCATGCTAAATAGTTCAAAGCAGGAGAGGCCACAGGGTTGTGCCCAGTAGAAAGACCCAGATAACCTCAGAGACACCTGCACAGGTCCTGGAGCAAGAGGGGCCTACAGGGAAGATGCCAGAGGACAGCTAGAGCACTGTGGAGCTGGGTCTCCTATGGCTGGCTATGGTGTGTTTTGTTTTGGGAGCATACATGTGTGTAGTTAAAATGCTCTCTGGGATCCCTCCAAAGATCAGGGATCAGAAAGAGTAAATTGAGGATGCAGTGGTTAAGTGGGCTGTCCTGGTGTGGTCACTCATTATAGTAGTGACCAGGCACAGGAGTGAAGTCCTTGAGCAGAGTTCGTGAGGAGGCTGCAGGGCCCGGGCTGGTTAGGATGGAGAGTGGACTTGGAAGTCACATCTGGAGAGGTAGTCGGCCCTTGGCATTTGCGCTGGACTACCAAGCCTCAGAGTGTAGGATAGGAAATACAGGGGGACATTTATGGACCATGGATATTTATGTAAGTCAGAGGTGAATGTGTGGCTCCAGAGTCTGTTAGCCCCAAAGGGAAAGCATGAAGCTATAAAGTTGAATGAAGAGCCAGGTGCTAAGGGACTGCTGAGATGGTGGGGGAAGAGGGAATTAGCATCCCATGTGAATAGCCTGTGGGGGGAATTAATGTTGAATGTGTACAGTGTTTCAGTTTGGCCCGGTGGACAGATTTCTGAATGGCTCTAGAGTAACAGTGAATATTCTCAGTACTGCTGTACTGTGTAACTGTTGTAGGCAAATTTAATGTTATTTTTTTCCAAGATAAAAGAGAGAAAATATATAAACTAGCAGCTAAGAAGGAAGGTTCAGGAGGGTGGAGGGGTTGCCTACAACAGGGAAAACAAGTGTTTTTGAGCCCAACCAGCCCTGCATTTCAGATCAACTCTGCGTTTGTACACGTCCTGATTGGCAGTGGACAGCAGAAAGCTAGTGGTCCAGTTTACCCTTGTGGAGCTCTCAGGCAAGTCTTGACCCTTCTTTCCTTGCCGACCACACAGGCAGAGAGAAAGCAGTGTGAGCTTCGAGCATTATGCCTAACCCACTGTGTTGGCTGCAGAGATGGCTCAGTGGCTGAGAGCTTGCTACTCTATCATGAGAACCAGAGTTTGGATCCCAGCGCCCACATCACATCCAGTGACTCACAGACACCTATAACTCCAGCCACAGGGGGTCCTGCGCATCTCTGGCCTCCCAGGTCACTGTGCACAGACAGTTGGATGAAAGCAACTTATGTCTATAAGTAAACTTGAAGCAATTCTCTACCCCACTCTGATCCTAACAATAATGTTTTTACCACACACATTCTTAGTTTTGAACACTAATTTTTGTTTGGTTTTGGTGCCAAGAATTGAACAGAGCTCCCAAACACATATGGCCAGTGCACTGCATCCCCAGCCCCCTTTTTTTTTAATGATGTGTATTATATCCTTGGATACAGGAAAGGCCTTGAGAGCTGAGCAATTATTTTTATATATATTTATCCTTATGCTAACTAATCTTGTTTGTTTTCTTCACACTTTCTTCCACCTGACCCCTAGGGCGGCGTGCTAACCATTAAACTGGGTGGGGATCTAGGAACCTACGTGATCAATAAGCAGACCCCAAACAAGCAAATCTGGTTATCGTCTCCCTCCAGGTATGTTCAGAATTCAAAATCTGTAAGGGGTGAACTCTTCTGAAATGCAGTGTTGACGGGGGACCGTTTGGAAGGGCATCCGACACTGGCTTTGCCATGGCTTCACAATGGTCTGCCTCTGCAGGAAGGCTCACCTCTAGTTGAATGTTTCTCCCCATTGATGACTTGGTTGCTATCCTCAGGATTTGGGATGTTGACGAGATCTGAAGCAAAGGAAACTTTTCGGAAGCTGGCCCAGACTTTTTTCTCCATTACATCGTTGCCCAGAAAAGAACAGTCCCTGGCTTGCCTTTGAAAAAGATAATTCCCCAGGCCTAGTGTTACCTATCTGTTGTTGAGCGCTCAGGAGGCAGATGCAGCAGTTCAGAGTGCCAGCCTTGCTACATGGCCAGTTCAAAGGCTAGACTGGGCTGTCATGTAAGACCCTATCGCAAAAGCAGAACAGGCCAACCTGGTCTATATAGTGAGTTCCGGCCAGCCAGAGTGATACATAAGCTACTTTGATTATGTATGCCTGCACATACCTGGGGTTTAAAACAAATCAATTAATGAAAAAGCTACTTTGAAGGCTGGGCATGTTTACCTCAGTGACTGAATACTTGTCTGGCAATCCATAAGCCCTGGATTCAGTTCCCAAAATGGAAGGGAAGAAGAGTGAAAAGAGGAGGGACTTTTGTGTTGTAGCATCTGAGGAACCTGCACTTTGTCCTCAAAGTGAGTTAAACTTTAACTCGAAGCCTGGCAGAGTTAGACGAAGACTCTGTGGCAGTGGGACTGTGATTTTTAGCAGCAGATCCAGAGGCCCCATCTTCCTGCCTGCCCGTGGATGTGCCTGCAGTTGTTGAACAGCGGGGTGTGTATTGCAGGCAACCTGGGTCTCAGAACCAAGAACTTACTAGAGAGCATACAGGGAACTGTAGCAGTGGTCTAGGAATGGCTGAGAGATGCTCACACACAGATGCTCACACAGAGATGGATGTTCACCCAAAGATGCTCACACTCAGATGCTCACACAGAGATGCTCATACAGAGATATTCACACAGAGATGTTCACACAAAGATGCTCACATTCAGATGTTCACACACAGATGCTCACACAGAGATGGATGTTCACCCAAAGATGCTGACACTCAGATGCTCACACAGAGATGTTCATACAGATTCTCACACAGAGATTCTCATACAGAGATATTCACACAGAGATGCTCACACAGGGATGCTCACACACAGATGCTCTCACACAGATGCTCGCACACAGATGTTCACACAGAGATGCTCACACAGAACCTTCACTAAATTTTCTGAGACTCAGCAGTACTACCAAAGAAGACATTTTGAAGGCAAAGTGGGAAAAGCTCAACTAGAACCAGTGTGGAATTCTTTGAAAACTTAATGGTATTGACAGTTTAAAAAAAAATTTTTTTTTAAAGTGTCTGGGTATGGCTCAGTGGCAAAGAACTTGCCTAGCATGTGAGAGAAAGCTCTGGGTTGGATTCCCAGCACCACAACAAATGCATAAGCAAACAAAAACTATATCGAGGAGGCTGGAGAGGTAGCTCAGTGGTTAAGAGCACTTGCTGCTCCAGTGTGAGAACTAGAGTTCAGATCCCGGCACCAATACCAGGCAGCTCACATACGCCATGGGGAAAGTGATTGATTACAGAGACTCCAAGCAAACTTTAAAACCTGCCATTTATATGAGGGACTTGGAGGGAAATCTCCTAAGTCGCCCTTCATCACGGGTGCTGTGTTGCTTTCAAGGTGTGTGGGCGGTGGTAAGTTTTACTTATGTGTCATGGGTGTAAGTGTGAGTGAGTGCCTGTGTCCACAGCAGCCAAAGGAGGAGTCAGGTCCCCTGGAGCTGAAGTCACAGCAGTTGTCAGCATCCCAGTGTGGTACAAGAAGTCAAATCAGCCCTCCGGCAGAGCAGGGAGTGTTCCGAATCACTGAGCCAGCTCTCCAGCCTGCCAAAAGTAATTTCCTATTTATCCAGAACATCTTCCACAGGGCATGGTTATCATTTCTTATTTCAGAAGGAGGCTTTTGAGGCCCTGTGGAGATGGTGTTTCCTGGCCACCTGGCCATAGGATCATACGATGGGGTAGAAGAGAGCTACGGAGACACCTGGAACAAAGGACATCCTTAGTTCTTTGGTTTCCTCTGGTTTTGTTTTTGTTTTTGTTTGTTTTGGGTGGGAGGGGTTAAGACAGGATTTCTCTGTGTATCCCTGGCTGTTCTGTAACTCTGTCTGTAGACCAGGCTGTCCTTGAACTCACAACTGCCGTTAGGAAGACACTGAGGGAATCAGAAGTGCACCTCACTGCATGCCACTGTAAGACTGCAGTTAGTCAGTCTCTGCGTAGCAGGAAGTTCTGGGGTTCTGTTAGCTCTCCATTGAAAAGAGGGGGCATTTGTTTTGGCTCACAGCGTCAGAGACTTTAGTTCCTGTTGCCTTTGAGCCTGTGGCTCAGAACATGGCAGGGAATATATGGTGGGAGGAAGCTGCCCTACTGGTAGCTGAAAGCAGAGGGAAACAGGACAGGCTCCTAGTCACTCTATCGGTGACCTAGCAAGCCACCCCTAGGCCCTACCCTATAAGGCTATATAAGGAAGGTCCAGGCTATCTGTATCCAGGTCTAAGATACAGAGTAAGACTCTTATCTTCAAAGATAGGTAAGCCGGGCAGTGGTGGTGTACGTCTTTAGTCCCAGGACTAGTCCCAGGACTCAGGAGACAGAGGCAATCTGGTCTTGGTGAGTTTGAGGCCAGCCTGGTCTACAGAGTGAGTTCCAAGACAGCCAGGACTATACAGAGAAACCCTATCTTAAGAAAGCCAAGAAAAAAGGTGGATTGATTGATTTAGCCCAAACATGATGACTCTCCCGAAGATGGTCCTCACTGACTTACTCATTTCCATTTGCAGTGGCCCCAAGCGCTATGACTGGACCGGCAAGAACTGGGTGTACTCCCACGACGGCGTGTCCCTGCATGAGCTGCTGGCCAGGGAGCTGACTGCAGCCTTAAAGACCAAACTGGACTTGTCTTCATTGGCCTATTCTGGAAAAGGCACCTGACCATGAAGGCACCTGACCATGCACAAATTCAAAGACATTAAAGCTGTATCAGGCCAAGACCTCCAGCTTTCCCGTGCCTGCTTCTGATGACAGTCACACTGTGTGTGACAGCTCTGAAAAAAGTGTGTCACCTTCCACCCTGTCCCCAGATCTGGCTTTTCATTTCTGCAGAGGTTTGTGTTTCTTTTCTCCCCATCATAGCTCCATCTCTTAGAATGTCTTACACCAAGTGTCCTGAGGGAGAAACAAATTGTTCCCACTCTTCACTCTAAGGGTTTATGGTAGAAGCTTCATGAAGAGCCTCAGGCCTGCCATTGTGTCTGAAATGACACTGTAAGGTGTAGTTTCTAAATGTCACTCCAGAGCCCTTTAGCAGCAAAGTGTCAAAAGGAACCATCTTAAAACACCCATTTATGATTTGTGGCCTATAGTGGGCACCCAGGACCTGTGCTTTGTGGCTTACGCTGGGTACTCAGGGCCTGGGTGCTGTTGTCTCAATGCTTTCAAAGACAAGGATCATTACAGAGTCACAGGTACAACATGGACCTGAGATGTATTTTAAAAATTGGAAATTTGGCTGGAGCGACCTTCCTCCACAAAGCACTTGCCACACAAACATGAAGACAGATTGGGTTTGATCCTGGGACTCCACATTTAAAAACCAGGCATAGTGGTGGTTTATTATCCCAGCACTGCGGGACTATGGAGCTGTGGTCGACCCTGGAGCTTGCCAGCCAGCCTGCTTAGCCTCATTAGTGAGCCCAGGGTCTCTGAGAGGGACACTTTGTCAAAGCAAGGTGCATGACTTCAGTTGACCTCTGTCCCCCACACATGCGCACATATACCACACAAACATGCATACACCCAAATTCACACATGTTAAATAAATGCATAGATAACTATAGGCAAGGAGGAAAAACACTACCATAACCCAAAGGATTAAACAGTGCACGGAGCTGAGTATGCACCCATGAGAGATACCTGACTGGCAGAGAGCCAGTGTCCTCCACTTCCCATCTATCCAGTGGAGGGGACCCATCAGCCAGTCCTCCAGGCTCTCTTTTGTTTCCACAAGGTAGGTGGAGGGATGGGTAGTGAACAGGTTTGTTTTTGTTTTTAAACAACTCCTGCAGAAATGGTATTGTCTTTCTATTGCTCTGTTGGATTATAGGTAAATTCCTACTGAGCTAGCAGCTGACCCTTGTTCTCTGTGGGCCGGGTCTAGCACACCATCACACTGTTTCAGTTTTAAAGGCTGCACTTGGTACTAGAAGCAACACTCCTGAACATCCATACTGAGCAATGGTAAACCGGGTTGTTCTGGTATCTTCTGACTGAAGGACACTTAGGGCCTGGGAATCTAACCCAGTGGAGAAGGCTCTTGTGAAAGGCCCTGAGCTCCATCCCCATACTACAAAGGGCTGGGAGATGTGTTAATGGCAAGTGGCAAGTCCATGCACATATACAGCAGAGGCTGTGCAGGGTGAACTGAACACATTACATCATAGAAAAAAAACAATGGAACAGTGTAAACAAAGGCCAATGGTTATTTAAGATATTTCCTTCTTCACAAATAATTTTTTTTTTTTAGTCTGGTGGAAAGTTTTGAGTGGGGTAAGTCAGTGCTAGTGAGATGATAAATAGAACCATGTGTAGTCATGCTGACACACCCATCTATCTTCTAGTGAAAGTCTCAGTACCCGATGCCTGCTTGAAACAATGAAATGGGCCATTTACCCACCTGAGACTTCGGAGTATGCCCTGGCTACTGTAGCAGATGGAAGTTGGGGAGTCTGTTGGGGCGCCTCATGGACCAGCCCTGGGCTTCTTAACTTTTACTTTACGTGTCTTTGACTGGTTTCCAAGGCAGCAGAGAACTCATTTAAGGAAGGATATGGAGACCCTGTTGGGGAGACAATCCTAATACTAGGCATGGTGGCCCACTTCTATTGTCCTGACACTTTGAAATCCAAGGCTCAAAATTAACAGAAGCAAGTAAGGTTGGCCTTAAGATTTTCTTTTGTCATTTGTTTTTGAGACATTGATATGTAGCTCAGACTGACCTTGAGTTTAAAACAATTCTGCCCCTGTCTCCCAAACGTTGGGAGACACCACTGCCCACAGGTGACAGTAACTAGGTTGAAATATAAATGATGCCACCCACCAAGAACTGCTCAGGTTATAAGGCTGCAGCAGGAGATCACAAGTTCAAGGCTAGCCTGGGCCACACAACAGCCTGTCTCAACTCATATTCTAGCAGGTATGGTAGCATACATCTTCAATCCCAGCACCCAAGAGGCAGGGGGCAGGAAGATCTTTTGAGTTTGGAGCCATCCTAGTCTATATAGTGAGTTGTGCCAGCCAGATCCTGTCTCAAAAAAAAAAAAAAAAAAAAAAAAAAAAAAATAAACTCATATTCTGGAAGCAAGCTGAAAATAAAATATATTACAAACCACAACCCCATGAGGGCCTGGGCCCTGCTCCAAATGATAAGACAGACTTTGAAGATCCCCATAGAAGGCCTCACCCTCCCTGGGGAACAGAAAGGGGATGGGGTTGGTGGGAGGCAACAGGAGAGGAAGGAACAGTAAGGAAACTGGGATTGACGTGAAAAACGAGCTTATTTCAAATTTAAATTAAAAAAAAAAAAATGAACCACAACCTAAGCCAAAGACCCACACTCTGTCTATGGTCTAGTCACCACAGGCAAAGTTGCTCCTATTCAGTCTAAATTTTAGAAAGCATTTTGTTGTTTTCCTACATTTGTTTTTTGTGGTGCTGGGAATTGAACTCAGGGACTTGTGCATGCTAGGTAAGTGCTTTGTTACTGAACTATATACTCCCAGCTTCTCGGTGTGCGTGTGTGTGTGTGTGTGTGTGTGTGTGTGTGTGTGTGTGTGTGTGCGTGCGTGCGCGCTACTACTAAGTTTTATTTTGGTATTTTCATCAAATAACAAGTTTACAATATGTCTTCTCCTATTACACTTGCCCCAATTTTAAACCCTGTAGCCGCCGCAGTGTCTGTAATGATGTTTGTGGCGGTCCAGGATTGCCAAGGTATGCTTGCTAATCTTCCATCCTCTAAGGTAAAAGCAACAGGAAATAATATCCGGTTACATGGCACAGATTTGTCTTTTACAAACTGAAGCAGCTACATGCCACAAGGAGAGCGGAAGGGGGCACGAAGCTATGGAGCGGCTCATAAATGTAGGCTGCTTTTCAGCTGGGGATAAGGTCGGTTGGTAGAGTGTTTGCCTGGTGGGTTCAAAGTCCTAAATTCAGCCCCCCAGGACTATGTAAGTGGCATGGTGACACTTGCCTGGAATTCCAGCACTTCGGAGATGGAAGCAGGAAAATCAGAAATTCAAGGTCAAGGTCAGTCTGGGCTGCACATAAGATCCTGTTTCAGTGAGTAAATCGATGCCGCCTTTTAAGATGACGTCATGACTGGGTGCCTAAGAAATTGCTGGGAGGGGCTGAAGAAATAGTGAAGTTGATAAATGCTTTCCACAAAAACATGGTGACCTGAGTTCAGACCCCTAGTACCTTCGTGAAAAAATAGGGCTTGGCAGCACGCACTTGTACTCTCAGTGCTGAGGTGGCAGGGACAGGTGACTCTCAAGTTCCCTGGCCCTGAGCTTCCGAGCCACTGAAAGAGCCTGCCAAAACAAAAGGTGGGGAGCAACTGAGAAGACACCCATCATTTTGTCGTGGAACTCACTGCCACATGTGCACACGTAAGTAAGTGTCAAGAATGCTGGGTTTGACCTAACCACTGATGATCCTAGATTAAGGGCCTGCAGTGTGTACCGGGACTTGCGTGAGTGTCGATTTTCTTTTTCTTCAGTACCAGGAGCTTAACTTAGGGTTTCACACATGCTAACCTCTGAGCTATACTCCCAGTCCAGACACTCACTTTCTAAGTCTGCATCTGCTAGAGACAGAATACAGATTCCAATGTTCCACTCCCCGGCTGGTGTCCATTAAGAAATAGAAGGTACCAGAACAGATTTATTGAACAGTTTATGAGAATGTTGAGAAAAACACCTGTATCTAAGAGAGGAGTCAGGCATGAGAGGCCATTGCAAGCACAGCTTAGTGTAAGCCCAGGCCTCTGAAGACAACTGACATGGTCTGTCTTGGCACTGGGAAGCCCTCCTGATGTTGTTTTATTTTTAGGGGCTGGAGAGATGCCTTGGTAGAGGACCAGAGTCCTCATACAGAGGACTGGAATCTTCAGTTCCCAGCATCCATGTATGGCAGCTCTCAACTGCCTATAACTCCAGCTCCAGGGGATCAGAGGTCCCCTTGCTTGCTTCCACAAGTATCCACACATATGTGGCATTCTTGTGTGATAAAACTTCCCCTAGGGAGATGCAACAACACACATCTACTTACCCCAGATAGGGAACCCATGACACACCAAAGTACAGATACCACCAAAGTCCAACTTGGTGAACCAGTGAGTTTTACTGGGGTCACTGATGGGAATATGAGGGGTTATTACAGGAGCAGAAATGACTCAAAGGCAGCTTTGTCACCAAGGCCCACCCAGCACAGTGACAGCTCACAACAACAGGGAAACTTGGAACACACTTCACAGCCTACAGGCAGCTCAACAGGTTGGAGAGTGTCTTTTCCAAGTGACTCTGGTTCGAACCTCCCCCAGACAGCTTGACTGGTCTCTGCTTCTCCCAGGCAGCTCGTCTGGTCTCAGGCTTCTTTGCAGCTTGTCTGAGAGGGACTGCCAGCTTTTATTGCTTTCTCTGGCAGGAAGGAGTCTAATGCATCTGGTCAGTTTCAGGGACTTCCTGAATCTGTTTTGAGTTGTTTACCTCCCTGTTTGTGGACGTTACATACATTAATTATATATATATGTACACTCGGGGCAGAGGCAGGTGGCTCACTGAAGCTAGCTTAGTCCACATTTCAAGTTCCAAAGTAGCCAGAGCTACATAATCAAACCCTGCCTCAAAAAATGTGGGAGGGGCTAAAAAGATGGCTCCTAGCACCCATGTGGTAGCTCATAAACACTGATAGACATAAATAAACCTTTACAAAAGAA